TAGCGGTGAAAATGTCCTCTCAACTTTCGATGAAACGTTTACCATCTGAATAGCAATCTCTGCACGTCAACTTATTTGCACCTGAGTGACGCGTAGCCGAACCGATACGAACCCCGAAGTAAAAACACAATTGATCCGTAACGTTCTACGGTACTGAATTAACGAAATGATGACAAATGTACAATTAAAGAAACCTCAGTTATGATGCCGACAGCAGTCAAGCAAACGAGCCGAATAAAATGTCCAGAGAGAGGTAAACAGTCGCTCATGATCTCAAACCACGCAATATTCAAATGTGCCGGGCATACAATTAACAGATAAATAATGATGTATGGTGATTGTGATCGAGAAATGTCAATATGGGAGCAACAGACAAAGTTATTTCACCATAAATCATTGTGGGTTCGGAAGGATTTTCAAAAATTCAGTATGAAATACACCGGCCTCCAAAATCCTTCCTACGCTCGTCTGAGTCAAAGGGTTGGTGCAGTTCATTGATTCTTGTCTACCTATCTACCTGTCTATCCCCTGCTGTCAGTGCTTCTACCTACGAACTGTTCAGCCTTTGCCGCACTCTTTGATCTTGACCTCCGGCGACTTGCATGTTTCTTCGTCGAGATTTGCCTTCTGCATCAGCACGCTTGCAGCTAGTCACACAATAAATTGATAACAGTGGGTCAAATCAAAATCATCACAGATAAAGTCTCGATATGTAAACAAGGAGTGGAGAATGTGGGCGGTGTAATTAATGTTCAGGTTTCACAAATGAAATCATGTTCAGCATGCAGGTCATTGTGTGTAAGTGAATGGATGGATGTTGAGGGGACATGAATCACACTTTCAATGTTAATGTCATAAATTGTGTATCAATCTGATAAAGGAACACTCAGTCACGAAATGAAATGGAGAAAACGTATGGCAAGGACGCGGAAGCACGTGCTTATATACAGAATGAGTGAATAACACTGGGGGTGCAATTGATACAAGGGGAAATTAAGTGAATATAGTACATGGCAGGCCTCCACAACTCCATCAGGTCACGACATGGTGGTCATCTCCCTCCAAGAAACACACGTCGAATAGCGCGCATCTGTTCACTGGCAGATGTTTTCAAATTCACTGTTCTTACCAGCCCATCTGAGTCCGTGTGGCTTTCTATGACTACACCCAGTAGCCAGTTGTAGCTTTTCGTCGGCCATAAGAACAACGTCCCCA